ACGCTTAAAAGCGAAAAGCAGAACCTCTGTGGCCTGCTTTCCATTTGCGTCAGATGCGTAAGTCACGAACAGGAATCGCAACTGATCAGATATTCCTCGGCAGAGGGAAACTTAGTCTATTTCCAGCAAACTAGGAAAAAATCCAACTGCCTATTTTCAGAAAAGCCATGCACACAAGAAGTTGTATGCCTGTAGTAATGCCACCGAGTTTTCTGGCAGCGCACAGCCCTGGCACGGAGGAAGCGCGAAGGAGAACGGCGCAGGCGGCGGGGAGGCTCCGCGGGGTGTCGGCACGCAGGTGCCAAGCACACACAAGGACAAAAAAGTCTTTTCGCTTTCTAAAAATAAGAGCCTACTAGATAAGAAGCACAGTTAGCCAGACTGCAGCATGCCCTGTTTGGATTTTACCATGTCATTGAAGGGAAATTAATTACCAATATGTGGATATTTTGTAGGGAAACAGCATAAGGTAGAAGAAATGTGCATTTTCCCCAAGACATTCAGCATTTTCAGTCAGCATGACCAGTATCCACTCTCTGCTTTGCTGGCCATTAAAATAAAGAATTTGATCTTAACAGTAGGGTAATGAAGCTCCCTAGAGTTTTCAAGCACACACTGAATAGGACAGTAAGACATTGAATCTTTACACAATGGCCACAACTAGACAGTGTAATGTAACATTTACAGCTCATGTGTGGAGAAAAACCCTATAAAAATCTTATAAGCAGCAGGCAGGCAGTCATAACTCCACCAATATTCACATTCTAAGACAGAGAAGGCACCATCCAAAATGGTCCTTCAAGTCCCAGTTCCCACACGGGCTTACTGCACCTTCTCTTCCTCCAAACTGCACCTTCAATGGAGTTCTTCCATTTCAGAACAAAACACCCATCCCTAATTCTCTCCCTACTCTCCTTCAGAGCATTAAATTACTTCCCCAATTAAGTATATTTCATGTTCTTTTTAACCGAGTCACGTGTACTCTGGATTTTTCTAAATTGTAGTTTGTGACACTCAAACAAGATACTACAAAATTTAACATGTTCCCCAAGCAAATGCTAAAAGCTGCTACAGCCAGAAAACCTTGTGCCCTGCACATATAGCTCACTATAGATGAACATGAAATTCACATAGTATGAAAAAACATATGATAGAAACAATTTAATGAACAATTAGGTCTTTTTGTTAAATGCAGTGTTAAATATTTACTATAACAAATTCATTTGAGCACATGCAATTCCAAGGCTGATAGTCTCAAAATGGCTTCACCTGAAAGAAGCAGGCATGAAGAGGAAAGGGAACTGAAATTTATTTTCCATCAGCCCTACACATGACAGAAAAGCTCCCTTTACCCTATTTTAGGGGAATTCAACAGGGCAATGAAACCAATACTGAAATTTTCATGCTTTTCAAGATATTTCACATCAAATACCTTGCTTTCCTTTTATGACCCCTCCAACTATTAAACACCCAGAAATCCTTAGATAGTTTCCTTTCCTCCTTCAGTCCCTGGAGAGAGCCTGGAAAAGAGTCCCTGGGGAAAAAAAAAAGGGGATTTTTTTTCCCTCCATCCTTGAGTGAGAGCTTTGTGATAAGGGCCACAAGTGTTTTGACAACATCATAATCTACACACAATTTTGCTGTGTGCCTGGATACACTACCAAGTTGAGTAATAGGTAAACAGCTTTTAGCTGTTCAAAATTAGTTCACTTAAAAACCCCAAATCAGCCATCTGAAGAGCCAGCTGTGGAGCAACTCATAAAAAAAAAAATCTGTACCAGAAAACATCATGCATGCAAAAGACAAAAAAAAATCTAAGCAAAATGAACTGTTTGCTTGGTGGAAAATTCTCATCTACCAAGCTTATTTCAAGCATGAGCATCCATTCAGTGGAACAAGAAATATAAACCAAAATATTCTCCCCTAAAAGCATGTCAAAATGCTATACAACCATAAATGTTGATTTTATTTCATTTTCTGAACAAACCTATCAACACTACATGAATCAGAAAAGCAGTTCTTTGCTTTCACGAGTGACACTGAAATATTTCACTTCTTGCCTGATGCAGCAGATGAGGATTTTTTGGCGCTTTTTGCTGGTTTTAATTGAAGAGAGTTTTTGTCAAAAGATATTTTGGGCTTCAGGCAAGGAAAGCCTCCTCACTGGGGAGAGTCCCAGGCTGTCCCCAGGCAAGGCAGGGCACAGGTCAGGGAGCTCCAGGTGACGCCAGAGCTGACCCACAAGCAGCTCCTCAGCACACCACGTACCACGGGGAGCTGCCTGAATATCACCACAGGGTTCACCTCAGATTCTCAGATTTTCTAACTTCTGCTTCTCTCTTCATGGGAGAGGCCCTTGCGCCTCCAAAGCAGCAGCAGAGCTCCTCTTGTCCCTTCTCCTGCTCTTTGCTCAGCCCCAAGGCAGCTGCAGCAGTCAGAGCTGGGGTGAGCAGGATCCTTGTGAACACTGGCTGCCAAGGGATTCACGGGTTTGGGGATAAGCAGGTTCTTGATTACTTTTTTTTTTTTGCTGAACTGGGGATGATCTGTGCAGAAGCTTAAGTCACAGCAACTTTTCATTGATGCCTTGTGACTTACCTCAACAAGCTCTTGAAGCACAAGGACAGCAAGATGTAGCTACCACAGCTACATAACACTGAAAGAACAGGGTCATTTACTTCCACAAAGAATCTTAAGAACATTTTTAGAAAGAACAGCCATTTGTGGGTTTCTTGTGATAGAAAAGACTTTCTGCTTCCTCAAGCATCTTTCTCCCCACCCATTACAGCAGAGAATTCCATTGTAGTACCTTGGTTTTTGAAGCCTGTAGCACAGATTTCTAGATGGGCTCTCACTACCACCTGCCTACAGCAGGATCAGTACTCCCCAAGCTTTAACAGAAATGTTTTCTCAGCTACCTCTCAAACCAGAGTTAATTTTTCCATGGCTGTATTGTATTTGTGGCTCACAGCACTCCCTGTTCCTCCCCAGCATTTCCCACTGCTGAGCTCCCAGCTGATAGCAGAAAGCTCGTGTCACGAGTCCCTAAAAATATAACATTGCTCAGTGGCAATGTTAAGTCCCATCATATTTCTGTTACTCCACTTCTTCCTCTATCACATCCCAACCCTCCTAAAGTATTAAGAATGCCTCCAGAACTGGCATTACCAAAAGTGTTTGTATGTCCAAACCATATTGCTGGACCTTGCCTAGTTGAAATCAGCTACAAAGACATTGCTTCAAAAATTACTACTTTTGTTAATTTCTCTTTGAAATTATTCACAGCTGCACTGTATTTTCTAAATGGGTCTATCCTGTATGTGCCAAAATCACTTTCTTTCACTGAAAAATGAAGAGGGGGATTACTTTAGCTTTGAAATCTGCTTAGTGTTGCTGGAGCAGTCCAGCCAAACCTACTGAATGACCACAGTCGAGGCACTACATTTGCACAAACCCACCACATTCAGGCTGCCCTTGAGCAGTGCTCCCCAAGAACACAGCTGGGAACCTCCCTGGGAAATGGTGCAAAAATCAGCAAAAGACAACTTGGAAAGCCTGGGTACATCAGGGAAACACAGCCTACCAGCCACCACAGCTTTAAAAAGAGTTTCTTTTCAGATAGATGACTCCAACTTTAGGTAGCTGAAACCCCAATAGGTCACACCATGCAAATCAAACCCTGCACACCATCAGCTGGGAGGAGGCTCCTGGGAGTCAGGAGTTTTCTACTAAAAGCAGCAAAACTGAAAACACACAGCTGTGGTCACAAGTACATGCGAAAAAGCAAAGAGATGAAAATACATTTAGCTAATGCTTCAACTTGGAGTCCCCAGGGTTACCTCCATACAGTAGTGTGTGCTTCCTGCCAAGGGTAGAGACTTAGTTACCCTGCCTTAAGGTAAAGCTCCCTGGAAAGTTGTTCCTTGGAAACATACGTGCATCCACCCCTTTCACTGGTGACAAAAACATGAACTTCAACCAGTGTACATTGACCAGCGATACAGATCATCGTGTCTTTCTCTTACACAACCAGAAGGCAAGGTACTTCCTGATGCAATAGCTGCAGAGACCTCAGTAGGATCCCATCCCCAGGATCCCACTGCCAGGCACAGGGGCTCACAGCTGCCTTCAACTCCAGCCACACACAGCTCCTTTGCCTGCAGTGAGAACGCACAGGAATGGGCAAACATTGGCACTTAAACACTTCCAAACTCGGAACTCCATGAGGAAACGCTCAGCTTCCATGCAATTAAGCTCTGTTATTAAGCCTGAAGTTGATCAAATTTTATATGTAAAAACCTGACTTAGTTTCTCTTGCATAAACAAAAGTGACATTGAGGAAGAACTGCTGCCTTATGCCAACATAATCAGCTCATATCCAGTCATGAATCCACCAAAAATAAACATTTTAGAAAATGTATTTGAGCCTACAGCAATAGTTTTGTTCCTTTTTTCTGTAACATTTTTGGGGTAGAGAGGGAAAGAAGAATGCGGGAAGATTATTTCTGAATAGACATAAGGTGCGAATAAACATAATAAGAAAGATGAGATTCCATTAATATATTCAGTTCTTCCCAGATCCCTCCCCCTCCTTTCCAGCGCAGAGACTGAAGAAAACCCATCTACCCCGGCAGAAAGCTCGGTCATTCGGCTCCCTCCAATTCCGTAGCCCTGGGTTCCCTTCTCTGCCGGTGGCACCCGCCGGAGGCTGCCTGTCCCCGCCACCGCCAGGGACCGGGGCCAGCGGGGTCAGCGCAGCCCGGCCTGCGGGGATCGGCGCATCCCGCGGCCGAACGCTCCCCACATCCTCGGGGGATGCTCCACCAGCCCCTCCGGGGGAGGATGCTTTATCCTCCAGAGTCGCTCCCTCTCAGCGGCTCCCACCGGCGCGGCGACCCCTCCTCTTCCTGCCCTCCTCGGGGGGAGCAGACATTTTGAGGCAGCGCATCCCGCACGCCCGCCGAGAGCCGCAGCGGCGCGGGCGAGGCCTCCAGGCTCACCTGCCAGCTCGTCGGGCTCCAGCCCGCTCTCCGCGTCGATGCCGCACAGCACGAAGTAGTGGGCGAAGCGGCAGGGCGCCGCGCCGGGCCCGGGGTTGCCGCTCCCGCTCATCCCGCCGGCGGCGGCTCCGTGAGGCGGCGGCGGCGGCAGCAGCGCGGCTCGGGCCGGTCACGGCGCGCCGCCCCCCATCCCCGGCGGGGCCGCGCAGGCGGGCACCGAGCGGCGGCACCGAGCACAGAACGGGCGGGCGGCCCCGCTGCTGTCAGCTGAGCGGGGCGGGGACGGGCGGGACACGCCGCGCTGCCGGACCGCCCCCGCGGGGCATTTAAACCCTGCGCGGCCGCCCCCGCCCCGCGCCGCGGGCCCGCGTTCCCGGCGTGTGGGGAGAGCCGCGGGCGCCTTTGTCACCCGCTGTATCCGCGATGGAAGCCTAAAGCTCCCCCGCGTGTGAGCCGCAGAGGTTGGCTTTATTTAAATAAAGCAGGAGACGGTGCCGCTTCCTATCGGGAATGTCTCTTCCCCCCGCCCCAGGAGGGAGCTCCCCAGCCCCGCTGCCGGAACGCGCCGAGCCCCGCCCGGCGCTGAGCGCTTCCTGCGGGAATCCTGCCGGGGCAAGCGGCTGCTTCTCCTCCCCAGCCCAATGTGCAAGCAGCAGCCACCACCCGCGGCGGATGGCTTTTGTGCGCTCTCCATCCCCGCGCCGTGATGGATGGCACCCGTGCCACGTTACGGGAGAGCTATTTCTGGGCTACCCACACTCCGTTTCAAAGCAAAATCTAAAATGTTGCCTCATTCTTACTAGCCATTGTGCCGCGTCCAGAAATAAATCAGCATTATTTTACCCCCGCTGCTAGAATCCTTCTCGTTAGGATCGCCCGATGCCAAAATATTGGCAGCTCTGTCTGCGAGCGGCACCTACTTTTAAAGTGGCAGAGATGATTCTTTTGAAGTTGTAACTTTTTCTTCTCCAAAGTGATAAGATCCCCCCCCCCCCCGTCAATAATTTTGACATCTGGATATCATAAGGATATCATATCATTCAGTATTTTCCAGTATTATTCAGTATTCTGGATATCATATCATTCAGTATTTTCACTTTTATCCTTTTGTGTTTCATCTGCTTATTAGTCTTGCTCCATGCCACCTGTAATAATAAGTCTTGTCATTTTCTTACTGTGGACTCCTATGACCCCTTTATTTTACCTCTTAGCAGTGTGAATCACGTATTTTCTTTTTATGGTTTACATTTGTCCTTGTTCAACAAGTGCCTTTGATAAGGAAATGCCTACAAGAAATTGATAATTCATCCACCTTGTGTCATTTTATGGAGGTACATGGGGTAACTGTCTGACATGGAAGCCACCTAGGTCAGCATCTCTCTCTCTCTATCTCATCAAATTAACAAATTTTATGCTCTTTTATTTCTTAGCTTCCTCTAGTGTTCTAGTGAAAGCAGACAGGAGCTAAACTAATTTTTTCCCTTCCCAATAACTCCAATCTCCAATTAAAAAAAAAATTTAAAAAATTAAAAAGAAGACAAATCTCTCTCACAATCCCCAATTCTTGTAGTTGAAACACTCAGTAACAATCTGAACATTTCTGGAGCTGCAGAGAAATTTTCTGTGAGACTGGTAAATTTCTCGACTTTGCACCAGAGCTAGGTTGTTTTATTTAGTTTGGTTTGTTTATTAACTTGTATTTGCTTATTCAGCTTTGGGTCAGATGGTAAGAGCTTGACAAGTCAGTCTCTGACTCTCCTTCATAACCAAGTGCTTATATTGTAGGTATGTTTATTTTTTGAGGCCAGATGGCATGGATGTCTCCAGGAAGTCCAAGACAGAGGCTTCATCAGCCCCTCTAAAGGATGCTTCTAAAAATAACCCAAAAATTAACACAATAGTTCTGACCTTTTTACCTTAAGTAAAAACCAGCTGCTGGCTGGTTCTAGATTGTTTTGATTTAACTGTCTTCTGTACAGGGCATTTTATTCTTTAATGAAGTTCAGTGCACAGACACCTCAATCTCAATGAAATCAGTAGTGCATGTAGCATTAAACAAGAGGAAAAAGCACAACACATGGGATTGGAGGTGTAAAATTAATAAACTCATTTTTCCTGGGTTAGCTGTGAGGTTGAGCTCCCACTTCTATACGTGCAGCTGCCACAGACACTTTTTGTGGGGGAATTTTGTGGGGGCAGTGATTTGTTCTCCTAAGACAACTGATCTGCTGGGCACAAAAGTCATCCTAGTGAGGCCACTCAGATCTCTTGCCAAGCAGTGCCAGCAGACCCAGCTTGCCTGGGCTCTGGTAAGCCATGTTATGGCCCCAGGCCTGAATTTTCTCACCTAAACCCCTCCATCTAAGTTGTTCTCATATTCCCCTCCAAGCTGATCTAGCTTAGATACTGCATGTTGCCTTTGGGTATCTCTTTTCACTCTCATGGGTTTTTCTCCACTCCCATCCTGGCTCTCAACCCAAAGAATCTGTAACTTTTATTACATTTTAGCAGAACCTGGGCATTTTGGTTGTCCTTTCACCATCCAAAACCACCCTGTGCTGATCACCAGTGCCTCCTCAAAAAGGCTGCCCTGCTTTCAATACTTCTGCTCTACTTGCAACACCGAGTGCTTAAATTTTACAGAAGTCACAGCAGGTCCACGAAGGTGCTGTGGAGATTCTCGCAAGAGTGAGAGAAAAACAGAGATGAGGACTAAAAGCACCACAAAGTGCTGCACATACTAACTAACCAGGCAAATGCCATGAGAAAACATTTGTACAGCCTGGGAAGCAGCAGTGCCCGATAGGATTGTGCCATGAGACACATCTAGGATGATCAGAGACAACTGCCTGGGATTATGAGTATTTTTTTTCTTTTCACCAACAAAAAGTGTTAAAGTTCCACAAGGGATTTGAATAGGATGGGTGTCCTCTATTCAAATCGTATTTACAATAACCCCGGGGAGATGAGGTTTGTCCCTGGCACAGCAGAGCATAAAGCAGTGTCAGAAAGCACAAAGCAGTGTCAGAACTTCTTATGAGTTGCTCCAAGGAACAGGGATAAGGTAGGACTGAGGATTTCAGACTAGGACAGGCACAAAAAACTTACTGGCATAGACCAGATCTGCCTGTGCCCTTTCACTTTGGTCTGTTCTGCTGTGGCAGCAGCTTTGTTCCTTCACCAGCTGGATTGTCACTGGTACAACAGAGCAAGGGAAGGTTTTTGGCTTGGCAGATTTGTTCTTCCTTAGGTACTTGTATCTCTAGCCATGAATATTTGTCTCAATGTCAATTTGGTTCAAGTTTCCCTCTCAGTAACCTCTCAGTAACTCTTTGTTCCTCAGAACCCGTTAGTTTAAACCGGGTCGAATGCTAACAAGCATGTCAGCTCCCCCTGCCCTTAGGATCTGCCATAAAAGATCAGACCATCAAGCTCTTTGTCCTACTTCTGCAAGAAGCCAATGCCCAATGCTTCACAGAGGTGGAAAAACCTGCAATTTAAAGGTTACATACCTTCCCCTTGCTGTGACACTCTTGCTTCACTTTCTATTTTCTTCATCGTTCTTCCATGAATTGGAAATCATGCTGCTGTGATGGATTGCTCACTCCTCCACACAGCTCCACAGTTCCCTCTCTAAGATCTTTCACAAGCTGCCAAGCCACATTGATTTTCCATTGAAAGCCTCTCCTGTTTTGCTCTAGTATCTATGGGGTCACGAGATCCTGTAGGATGGAAGGAAGGAAAACCACTAAGATGCAACATGAATGTTGGTAATGCTCAGAACATTCCAACCCTTGGCTGAATTTCAGTGGAGCAGTGTTGTCAACTCCTTCATGAGGATCTGGATGTGAATAGTCAGGGGATAAGGATGGGTTAAGGATGGACTGTAAGACTGAAATCCAAGTCATTCTGGCACAAAGTGCAGAAGAGTCTATAGCAGAAGTTGGAAAAGAAAACAACAGCAGAAGATTTTATAAAGAGGTTCAAAAAGAATGCAATTTTCATTCTCTGAGCTTATGCAAGAAGACTGCTTAGAGCATGGGAGAAGTGTTGGCTGCCTTAGGGTCTAAACCCAAATAAACCATAAGGCATAAAGCAAGGAACACTTTCTCCAGCTCAATCCATCGTTGCTTAGAAAGCAGATACTGCAGGGGCATATTCTAATATCTTATCAAATTATAATACCATTAAAGCAAGCAGCTCACCTTCTATAACTGCCTCATATCTATGAAGATTAAGCTTAAATAAAAGCACATGGTTTTCGTCTGCCACATTGTGTAATTATTATTCATCCAGCAAACTTACAGATAAAGTAAAACATGATTACTTTCCAGAATCTCTGCCACAGGACCTCTGAAGCTCCAGTGATTTAAAATTGAAGGTTTTAAATCTCTAATTCCCTATTGTAGCCCATTGCATTTTATGAATTTTATGTACATTCGTCACACTCATGCCCTTGCATTCCAAACACATATAGATGCATTCCACTGTTATCTGCTTTCTGAGAGGATCCTTGAGGGAGAGGTTTCATGAGGCAACTGAAATTATGCAATAGTTTATTGCACCTTCTTCCCCCCTCCTCCCTGGGGCTGGCTCTGTGCTCCCACTGCTTCCTTCACAGACAAATCTGCAGCCTTGTCTGCCTCTCCTGAGTGCATCCAGCTCACCATCAGCAAACAGATCCCAAAACACAGGCAGGGATGGAACTGTGTTGTCTGTTTTCATTCACATCATCATGATGCTGCAAGCCAGGCTTCTCAGCATGCCGCTCATCCCTCTGCTGAGTGGGCAGCTCTGCTTCAGGGATGGCCTCTCTGTCCTTTCAAACCTCCCCCCATCCTGAATTGGCCTCCTCAAGGGTTTAGTCTTGGAGGGGAGAAGTGACAGCAGCCCCCCAGGCAGATAGGGCACACAGAGGTCAGACTTCACATAGAAACCACTCCTAGGTAAGTCCTGGGGTTTGCCAGGCCTGGTTTCTGGAGGTTTTGGAGCTCTTTCCCCGTGTTCAGTGGCACAGTATGGCAAAAATCTGTGGTGATTCCTGCCATTTCCCTGCACTTCTGTAATTCTATACTGAGCTTGTGAGATGTACCTTCTCCTGCCAAGCAGGTGAGGGCTTGCTCCAGTCCCTC